AACCCTCAAGAACCGCCCTCGAGAAGGAGAGACCTGAGATGATAAAATAGGTTGTACCTTGAGAGAGAAAATAAAGTAAGTAAGAAAGAAAGAGAGAGAGAAAGAAAGAAAAAGCCAGAAGAGAATTGCCGATTTCGTCTCTTCTTTTCTTCTTCATACCAATAGTACCGTTATCTTTTCCTTCTCTTTCTTTTTCTCTTTCTATTCCATTGACAGTTAACTTTGGTTAAGAATGTAAAAGAGAGAGAAAGAAGACCTGAAAAGTAACTTGCTAACAAAAGAAAGAGAGAGATGAAGATGATGAGAGAGAGAGAGAGAGAGAGAGAGAGAAAGGTAAAAGGTAACCTGGATAATAATGAAATGTGAACGTAGTAAGAGGCAGAAAAAGGGGTTAACTGTTGATTTCGTGTTTTATTTTGATTCTTGTTCTTGCAACGTTTTCCCGAAACAACAGCGAACCAGAAAAAATTATGCAAAATAACATTTTTGCCTAACGGTACCTAGTTACCTAATAATCCTTAAAAAAAGAGGAGGAGGCAAATAAACAGGTAACTTTAAATTGCTTGGAACGTAGGTTACGTCTTATCATTACCTCTCTCAATCTCGTTGCCTCCCATGAACAACCTCCCACTTACTTTGAATCTCTTTCTTCAGACACTTTGTTTACCTCTCTCTCTCTTTCATCATCACAATGATGCTCTCTCTCTCTCTCTCTCTCTCTCTCTCTCTCTCACTCACTCACTCTCTTATCCCTTCAAGGTACCTGTAAGGCAACTTTACCTCTTTACCGAAGGGCTTCAATTGGCTTACCTCTTTTGCGCAATTTTTTATATGCACTTATCTTTCCTCTCTCGCTCCCTCTCTCTCTCGTCATCATCTTACCTGTTGATTATTCTCTCTCTCTCTCTCTCTCTCTCTCTCTCTTAATCTTATCCTTATCTTTCTTTCTTTTACTTTCTTTTTCTTGTTTTTTTTCTACTCCTTTTGCGAATGACCCACTCCACCGATGAATGAGTTCTAAAGTATGTTTGTCCTAAATTCTTCTTCTTCTTCTTCACAGGTTTTTGTGTAATTTCTCTCTCATTCTTTTCATGAAGAAGATAAAAATGATGATGATGAGAGTGGGAAAAGAATGAGATATTCTTTTTGTTTGTTGTTATTCTTTTTTTTGTTGATGTATTCATTTTCTTTTCTTTCAGATGGACGCATGATAAATATGAAAACTTTGTTAGTTCAATCAAAGAGGTTACTCAGTTTTCTCTTGAATTGAGATTGAGAAAAATGAACGACAATAAGAAGAAGAAAAAAAGAACTTGTTCTCTCTGCTGAATACTCTCAACTCTTTAATTCTTATTTCATTCAATACCATTATTATCTCACCATGAATTTCCACCACCTCTCGATTTCCCTCCTTCTACAATAATTAGATAATCATATCATGTTTTATTTTCCTTTTTCTCTCCTTTTATAGTTTTTCATGATTCGTTGGATCTCAAGAATCAGGCGAATCCTCTGCTGGAGCGAAGACCTAATTTAAGTCTAATTCCATCTTGGAAAGAAAGAAAGAAGAGAGAGAGAGAGAGAGACGATTAAAAGGAAAGGTAGAAAAGAGAAGATTAAAGAAGATAAGATGATGATGATGGCGAAGAAAATAACAATCGCTCGAGGCTTCACTATTAGAAAATGATCATTTTCGTTCCTACGATGTAACCATTTCTTTTTTCCCCAACTGCCTTTAAGCTTCAGAATATTAGATAATTTACTCAGTCAGTTACTTCCATTATCATCATCATCACCTCTCACTCTTGCTCTCTTCATACATATAATTTGCTCCTTCCCTGATTTTTTTCTCTCTCTCCACCATCATGATCATACTTGTAACCTGAAACAAGAAAATTTGTTCAGAAAGTCTCGAATCATTAAGTATCTCTTTCTTTCTCATTTTCTATCAACAATAATCTTAACTGTTTTTCTCTTTCTTTTTTTTTCTTCTTCTTTCTCTTCTCATTCTCTCTCTCTATTACTAATCACTTTGCTCCCTTTTTATCATGATAATAATCACACTCACACACAAACTTTAATCCACCTTCGTCAGTTTTTACCCACTCTCCTTCTCATCGAAAAATCTTCAATTCGTCTTCTCGATTAACCCATTTTCATGGAGAGAGCGAGAGAGAGAGACTGGAAAAAAGAGATAATCATATTTCATAAACTAAGGAAAATAATATAAGATGAATAAGAAGCGAGAAAAAGTTCTGATTCTGATTGAGGCGAAAACTATTTTCACTTGATTCGAGAAACTAACGGTTAACAAATTATTACCTTTTCCAAATAAGTTGCTGCCTATTCGGAGAGTTTATCATTCAGGGGCCTGTGCCCTAAATAACCTGATAATTTTTAATTCTTTTCCCGCCTTTGGCTAATTGTTTGACCCATAAAAATGATCAACATGCTAATTTAATATTAAGCAGGTGAATTAAGAGACACGAGAGAAAGAGAGTAACAAACCAAACGAAAGGTAAATTAATGGTAAAAAAAAGGAAAATGATTAACTTTAAAAGTGATCATTATAATTTAACTACGAAGATTAAATTTCGTACAAAAGTAAAATCAAATTCCCGTTAACGTAGGTCGTTGACAACGATAACGACACAATTAATGATTAAACTTTTTTTCGTTTAAAAAGTTTTGTCTCTCAACGAACCTTAATGTTTATGCTTCTTTACCATTTTAATTTTCTAATCGTAATAATAATCGTTAGTTGATGATGATGATAATTTAATTTCGTTATTTGTGGAAAAACTTTTCTCAATTAATTAATTTGTTTCTCTTTCTTTCTTTCTCCAGGTAATAGAAGAAAAGTTCTCTCTCTCTCTCTCTCTCTCTCTCTCTCTCTCTTCGCTTCGACAACGATTTAAAGTTAATTGATAAAATAGAAAATCTGATTCCATGCTGATGATGATTCTAATTACTCCTGAGATTTTGAGATAGATTATCAATAATTAATATTTGAACAAGAAGATCATACAAACTGTCAACATGAATTATAAGTTAATGCAGATTAATTGGCATAAAAATAGAAGCGTTTTTTTAAATTACCTAAATTGTTTACAATCAATTGCAGACCAGTAAACAAATAAACGGTATCAGAAAACAACAACAACAACAATTGAGGCGAGTTTTTTAAATCGATTTGGCATCTTGACGGAAAGTTATCAAGTATTATATATATAAAATAATGACCTGACCCAATGAGATTGACGTACAGGGAGATAGACACACGTAAATTTTGTGTATATAATATTATGAGAAGATTGATCTACACCAAGGAAAATTTAAAGTAACTTGTCATCATCCTCATCATTTTTATCTTCATCTTGATCATCATTAACCATCATTAGTGATCATCTTCATCTTTTGACCTCAACGAGATTTCCAGATTTACCCAGATTCTGTTTCCATCTTAATCTTACCTTAAAATCTTTGAACTATTATATTAATTTTCTTCTATTTTATTAGGCCAACGTCACATCTCAACGAAAGATGATGATGATGATGATGATGATGGAAAGAAGAAAAGAAAAGAAAAGAAGATAGAAAAAAGAAGCAAAAAAAAAAGAGGCCAATCATTCTTGAATTACCTATTACCTTTTTCATCGGAATCCTGTTTCAATGAATGAACCCGTTGAACATCATGGAATCAAGATTTTCACTTCGTTATTAAACTCGTTTCTCTTTTTTTTCACTAACGAAATAATATATTTACTCAATATCTTTTATATTCTTGATTGTTATCATCATCTTCGCAACCATTATGGCAATAATAATAATATTAATAATGATTCTAAGCTACAATATTATATGTTTGACTTACATCTTCTTACCTGGTTTTCGTTATTTACTTCAAAGTTCAACTCTCACTCAATATCCTTAATCACCTGAGAACTGAGAGAGAAACTGAGTGTAAACAAGTGAATGAGTAACAGGTAAAGAAAGAAAGAGAGAAAGATGATGAAAAAGGAGTTGAACAGGTAAAAGAGAGAGAGAGAGAGAAGATGAAGAAACGGGCTTCAAGATCGCTGTTATATTGTGTGAGTGTATGCGTTTGATGTGTATGAACATGAACAATTTCAACAGTCCGTTAACTCGACCTAAAAACATAGATTCAGAATTGAGTGAGTCAAATCGAGAGAGGAGAGAGAGAGAGAGAGAGTATGTGTTCACTCACACAGCACGTATAATAGGTGCTTTCTAAGAGAGCGACGATGATGACGAGGAAAAGAAAGAAAAGGTTTAGCATTTGTAAGAGAGAGAGAGAGAGAGAATCGAATAAGATATTTTCTTTTATTTTCTTCTCACTCTTTCATTCCCTTGACGTTTATCAATTGTACCGTACAATTGTTACTGTAATCAGTTGATTGTTATCATTAACTGAGCTCGAAGAAGAAAAAAAAAACAAAAAAATTACCTTAACCCAAAGTCGCAAATTTCAATTGTCGTTTACTAACTGTAAATGTGAATGACTTTTTCCCTTTAATTTCATACTAATTATCTCTCCATCTCTGTCATCCATTAAAAACTTAATTCATATTACAATTTAATTACCATACGAATTAAATTATATTTTATGAGTTGTAATTGTTGGTAATTCTAAAATACAGTCGAAACTTTTTCTTAACTAATTATTATTTTCAACTTTTTCTTTGCGCTGGTTTGTTTGTTTGCTCTGCGATTTTGATTATACACCAAATCGAAATATACTTTTGTTAACTTAATTGTCAACGATTATGATTGTTTCTTGATTTTTTTTCTCTCTCTCTCTCTTTTCAGGATAAAATAATAATCTACCTGTTGAATCTGTAATTAAGAGAGAGAGAGAGAAAATCGTTTTTTTTGTCTTCAACTAAGAGGATAATTATTAGACTGGAAATTAGTGTTATCATTTACTCAGTTTGAATCATGATTACTACGTATTGGTAAAACTTTGAATTGATTAACAATTCTGATGGTTGAAATATAAATATATTTAGTGTACAATTTTTATCAATGGATGATTGAATGATTTGGGAAATTAAAATGATTTGTGATTTAGATACAGTTGAAAATTAAGCTGATCTTTTGGATGAATACAACAGGTAAATATATAAATAGTATATATTTATATATACATGCGATGGCTTAAAGGCTCAAGCGAGGAAAAAAAATTACCAATAAACAGCTAACGTTTTAAATGAATAAGCAAAAATTATCGATGGATTGTGAATTAATTAAATCAATTTTAAAGAGGTAAATCAGTGGCAATGAACCGAAGAAGAGGGAAGACGAAGAAAAAAAAATATAACGGTAAACAATATTTTCAGATGATGATGATGAAGATGATGATGGTGATGGTGATGGTGATAGGGATGATGATGATGGAAACTCGTATTTTATCTTGCAATTTAAGATGGATTCCAGTTCCAAGTTTGCACCGAATGAACCATATTAATGATATATATATAAATACATCAATTCTATTGACATGGTCCGATACCTTGATTGATTGAAGGAGATGAAGAGGATGATTGAGATGATGAAATCAATGATGAGATCAAGTGCACAGCAAGAAGCTAGAAAAAGATAAAAAGGGAGAGAGAGAGAGAGAGAAAAAAGTTAGTGAGAAAATGAATGAATGAGAAATAATATAATGAAAAGATGATGATGACGAGAGAGAAAGAAAGAAAGAACAATAAGAAGAAAAAAGTCAAACAGAAGCCATTTTGATTGTGGGTAGAATTTACTTTCTTTCTTCTCTTCTAACTACCTGAAGATCTTGATTTTTTTTAGAGGAAAGATTAAGGTTTAGGTTCATCGTGTTGATAATTTTCTATTCTCCTTGTTTAAGGAGAAGATTTTTCTAAATTAACAATTACCTTTTTAGAAATTAAGTCAAATTAAGGTGAAAGGTAGGGAAAGCAAAACCTGTTGCTAGTCACATAATGTTGTTGGTGGTTTGTTGTTGTTGTTGTTGTTGTTGATTTCTTGCTGCTCTTGTGACTACTACTGGATGATTGTTGATGATGAGGGTCAAACGATGGTGAAAGAGAGATAGAGAGAGAGAGGGAGAGATGTAGTTCAACAGGTAATATCTATCGATATACCGATGACTGGGAGAGGAAGAGAAAAAGTCAATCAATCGGGTAGATAAATATGATATTTAGGTAGAAATTCAATGATGAGAACGTAATCCATGAAAGAATTGTTATTGTGACATCTTTCTTTTCCCAATTTCCAATTAAGGCCCAATTTGTGATATAATCGATTATTTTCACTGTACAATAGTTTCTCTAGAGCGCTTCTTGTTCGTTTGGATAGTGCAAGGGTAGGCCAAAGGAGAGAGCAACCAAATGAACAGCAACAGCATAAACATCCAACCAAAAGAAGACGAGCATTAATTGAATGGTGACTTTTCAATAGATTGTTAACTCGGTTAATGGTTCCTTCAAATTCTTCCCTTGAAACTTTACCAATTAAACTGGTTGGATATTCATTGGAGAATGTATTTGATAGGCCGAAAAGGGTCATATTACCGTTACCACGGATTGTTATCTGTTCCATAATTGGATAGTCAATGTCGGGCATTGAAATGATATCACTCTCATGGGAATGAGATTCATGGTGAGATTCAACTTCTTCAATAATATCATCAAATTGTTGTCTAAGTAAAAATGATGATGAACAGGGAACACTTTGTGCCATGGTTATTACACTTTTATCGATAAATACATAAAGAGTGAGGGAGAAACAGAGAGACTGGTTAGATTGGAGAGAAAATTATTAATTTAAGTAAAAATGAAACAATTTAATTCTCACACAGAGAAATAAATAAACAGAAATTGGGAAGAAAAAATAACAAAAGATAAAAATGTAAACAAAGAGATTGCGACAATAAAAAAGAAAGAGAAAAAGAAAGACCCAATTCTAGTTGTAAATCGAAACACTAGATGACACCACTTGTTCACTTTCTTTATTATTATTAACCCAAAGATTCAAAGAAACGAAGACATTTTGTAAGGTAATATAGTTAATCTAATTAATTGATTTGACAATTTACCTTGGGACAATTTGATGAATAAATTTGAATAAAGAATGGATCACAGATTCGTTTAGACCTTTGAAACAATTAAATTTAATATCGACAAAGAAAAAAAAAGAAAACGAAAGTAGTGAATAGTAGTGACACCTATTGGTCAACCCGAATAGTTATTAGTCTTTCGAAAATCTAATAATGAGTTCGAAAGTCACCAGATGGCAGCATTAAAGTCGAATTGGAAACTTGTCCCAAATTCGTGAAACTTTATCTTTTTTTTTGTCATTATTATTAAATTTTCGCTCTTTTTATATCGGTGGACATAAATATATATCAAATTCTATAAAAGAATCAATGGAAATGGAGATTTCCCAAGGGAATTAATGACTCTGGTTCATGGAAAAGTATATAATACACATAAAATAATTCTCGATAACAAGACTAATAATAATCAACCAAGAATAAATATATTCTCACATAATTAATCAGCAAATTCGATTTTTTCTCCTCTCTCTCTCTCTCTCTCTCTCTCTCTCTCTCTCTCTCTCTTCTTCCTTAATCTTTACCAATAATACTAATCATTAACACACCTTTAAATACCCACCCTTAACCTTAACATTTAACACTTTTTTGTTACAACAGGTCGATAGTAAACCTTGACCTAATTGTTGATCACAATTGTTAATAAATATTATTGATGAATAATAAATAATAAGTTGATCATTTGATTTAGTTAGTATTTGATAAACGACTGTTAATCATACCTGATCAGGTAAAACATTAAAGAGAATCCTTAAAAGTACAAAAAAAGTTATATTATCACAACTCCCAGCAATTTAAATTTCACCATCGGATCAAATTAAAATAATCCTTTAAATTATCATCCCTATAATTTGTCCATCACAACAATCAGTAAATTGTTTTACCATAATAATAATCATATTATACATGTTTTCCTTTACCCTAACAACCTTGGCACCTTTTTGTTGATTATAATCTTGGACTGATTGTTTTTTTTTATGATTATGATTATTATTTCATGGATTTAATCATCATCATCATCATCACCACCCTTTCAACACCATAATCACATAATCACATCATTAAACAACAATTTGATCATCTTTTAAGTTTCATCTTCGTGATTTAATGTTTTTTACACCTTAATTATTAACCACCACACCAACAATTTCACCATGAATTTAAATTGTCAATTTTTATCAACAAAAACAACAACAAGTTAAGGTCATCACACTTGATAATAATAATCAAATTAACAATCAACCATCACAATCATCATCTCCATATAATCATCATCATCATCAACTGGGTATGTTTATTTATCATAATTCACAATTTACTAATCATAGACAATGAATACCAATCAATCAATCAAAATTGAATTGTCTTGATTGTTAACAATTTAAATAAGAATCATATCTTATTCAATATCAATAGTTTTCAATATCAAATGGTCATCAGATATTCACTGAGAAGGTCAAGTAAACAAGTTAATTGTATTGTATTGAAAGTATTGATTACTGGTAATCACAATTATCGATGATAGTTAAGATCAAGATAACTTTTAATTGTTTGAATAATGTTTAAGGTAAATAGTGTTGATTAAATGTTTTGAAACAATCAACATGAAAAACTTAAATAGTTAAGATAATTGTTTGGGGTTAAGAAACAAATAAATGTCTCTTCCTTATAATCATCATCATTGTTATCATCATTCTGATCACAATTTAATCTTGATCATCATCTAGATGATAGTTATGAAGATGATGAGGATGATGAGGATGATAATAGATGAGGTAAAGCGGAAAATGTTTTACTATTATAAGTAAACATTAACATGGTTGAGACACTTTGAAAAGGTTGAATAAATATAATAGAGATCAAGTAAACGTAACGGTAAAAACTGTGATATAATCATAACAATCAGTTAATTATTATTAGTACAACTGATCATTTGTGTTTCATTTAAGCAAATTAAAAACAAACTCTATACAAAATCAAAGTTAATCAAGTTTCTAACTCGTAGTTACTCAAATAATTAACTTTTCATAAGGGATTGAGATCTAATTTCTCAGTTATTAATTTAGCAAGCCCATAATTGTGATTACTAAATTAACTGTGAAATTAACTTCATCTCTGCGTAGTTATTTAGTTAATTACCATTTTCTAAGAAATGTTTACAATTAGATCTAAAATTCATCATAACGGTGGTTCTAAAGGTCAGAACTTTCCATTGAACATTTACAATTAACTCGATTTCTCGAATATACCAAACATCTCGAAAAGAAAAGTTCTAACACACTCAGACTATTTTCGAACAGAAAAAAAATCTAAATTTCCATTTGAATCAAACTATTACCAAAGACAAGAGTATGAACTGTTCACTCAATTTATGATCGACGATTTCGAGTCCACAATCGTTACTATCGAAAGTTTTTCCTATGTATTCAAGTAGTAATACTTTCAGATTGAATGAATTTCAATCCTACAATTAGTATTAATTCCCAATCAGCATAATAAATCATTTACAGCTCAAATTACCAATGATTAAAAGCTACAATTTACTTAATTGTAAAATGAAAAGTTTGATATTTCAGTTAATTAACCGTAAATGATAATCATTGATCATATTATTGGTTAGTCGATGTTGAGAATAGCGAGCAAAAAAGTTGATCATCTATCCAATCAGACAAAATAATCAATTGACAAGCTATCACAATTAGTCAATTTAGAGACAAGGTATCTAATTGATCAACTAATTACGATTAAAATATAAAGTGTTTCAAAAAAAAACCTGTAAAGAGATTACAGGTAAACGGTATCATTTACCGTTATGTTTACATCAACAACATGAAAGATTCTGGAAAACAGGTTTATCATTTATCATCATGATTCTTTCTCTCTCTCTCTTGACTCTTTCTTTTTTCCTGGTACCTCCTTTCTCTCCCCCTGTCTCTCTCTCTCTCTCTTTCTCTCTCACCTTCATCTTTCTTCATCTTCTACTTGATTTTTTGGTGAGTTTGTTGTAACTTGCTGATAGTATTTTAAGTTTCTGATTGAACCCTGATTCTAATTCTGGTGTTGAAATGAATTCCGTAGAAAAATACCAAATCCATCATCATGAACACCAACAGTAAATTACTCTAATTAATCTCAACCTGAATTAATCACTTACCTCTCTCATCTTAATCCTAATCCATTGTTGATATTTTTGTTTCTCACTTGATTTCCTAATCCTTTTTTACAATCAACAATTGTGTTCCAACAATTAAATGGACTTAACAAAAATAATTCTGATAACAATGAACTCTAATAATTGTCTCTCTTGGATTAGCTGATGTTAATTGTGCTTCTTAATTAATCTTGGACATTTGCTCAGCATCCTCATCAAGGTAAAACCTTTTTGCTATTATTTTTACTATTATTACAATGATTATTTCAATTATGACAATTTGGTGACATTTCAATTGATTCATATTATAAACATTTCTCAGGTAAATTAATCTACTCGTTAATTGTGTCATATTTGATCAACTGTGTTGATAGATTACTAATTATTTCATCTCCATTGTTACACAACAATATTAGTCAATTATACTTGTAATTATTTGATTGATATTGATGTTGATTATCATTATTATCAAAGATTAATCAACAGGAATCAACGACAATTTAAAAAAAAATGAAAGAGACAACAACTAGACATGTTAATCTATTGATGACAGTTTATTGGATTTACTAATAATGATTGTTGATTGAATCCATTAAGATGATTTCGTTGATTTAATTGAGTTTATTTTCTGAGAAATGGTGAAACTAAATTATCTCAATGAATCAATGAAACGATCAAGATAATCAAGGAACTAGAAATGATAAGGTCAAGATAAATAAGATTATATCAGTTGATAGCATTTTCTGATGAAATTTTCATCAACTTGTTCTGAATTTTTCACTCATCTTTCATCATGATCACTCTCATCATGATAATGATGTTGATGATCCATTGACCAACATACACATCTAACTCTAATTGGTGATGAGTATCATTTCATTCACCAATTATATAGTAATAATTTATTAATTTTCCAGGTAAAAAAATGTGAAATTGTTTCAATCGTCAGGTTAAAATGAATTTTGAAGACCATGAGGTTTACAATCAATTTGAATTGGACATTTCAGCTAATCAGCTTATTGATGAGATAAACTTATTGAGCACTTATTGGAAATCAATCTAATAGAAAACTTTGATAGTCTGGAATTGTATAATAACGACCGGAAATGAAAAGAAAAGAGGACAGAAGATGCAAAAAGATGATGATGATGATGAGCAAGTAAGAGAAAGAAAGAAAGACAGACAAAAAAGACAGTAAAAAAAGCCGGTTTATGGGGCCAATTGATTTCATCGAAAAAGTGATATTGAGACCAGTTTTTTTCTTCTTCTCTTTCTTTTCTTTCTCTTTTCCTTTACTCCCTCACTCCTTCAATTTCTCTCATCATCATCATCACCATATTCAGCTCACTCTAAGGTGATTACATGAGACTATTGATCCATATGGTGCGTTGATGAATGGCCTTTGTATGAGGTACGCTTTTATGACGACGACGATGACGACGACGATGATGATTAGTGATGATGATGATGATGATGATAATGATTGTTGAAAATATTTGATATCTTTTACCTGTTCTAACGCGTCCCCTTTTCTTGTAAAGTGATGATCATTGATGACAATCTTTTAACATTATAACTTCAATTAGTTTACCTGATAATGGTAATTATCATCTATTCGAGCGAATCGAAATGAAAATACTCTATATATTATCAATCGATGACGATGATACAGCATACATAATGATGATGATGATGATGATGATAACATTCAACGTCTCATCTTGTTTGACATGATCGCCATCATCTCATTCACTCTTCATTCTCCGGTCGAAGTTCTCATGTTGGTCAAGACGTGACTCGTATCTTTAGTTTAAATCAATTTAAAATTCACTTATAAACCAATTATAGTGCATTTCAATACTATACAACCATCTTTGCCCTTAGGCCTTTAAAATTGAGTCTTAATTTTTTCTCAATCGCCATTTCAGTTTCTGACGTTTATTATTATTATTTTACTCTTCTTTTTCTTTTCAGGCTATACATTCATATATCTATCTTGTTGTTATTGAACATTCTGATGATGAAGATGATGATTAACTTGACTAATATAATTACGCAATCAGATATCGTAACGATAATAATAATAATAGTATAACGTTACAACGAAACCTAACGTAGTAAAACTGTACGAACGATTTGTAAAACTTTTTGATTCATTCGAAAATCTAAAACCAAATCATCAAGCTCGTCTCTCTCTCTCTCTCTCTCTCTCTCTCTCTCTCTCTCTCTCTCATCTTCATCTCTCATCTTCATCCTCATCTTCAGTTACTGTACAAAAAAACCATATAATATAAAACTAATAATATAATAATGATACCGATGATAATATATTTATATATTATAAATAATCACCATCCACACAAACTCAATATAAAAAAGCAGAAAATTTTAGTTACAACTTTTTTTTTAATATATTCTAATAATTATTATTATTATAAATATAATCAAATAAAAGTTATTTATTATTTTTATTATTAATAATTTAACGCAATTTATATATTATTCAATTAAATATTAAAGTTATTAGTTAATATATGAGTTTGTTAATAGGAAATTGATTGGGAAAATATAAACTTATTGATTTGGTGGTGAAAGCAAAAAAAGTCAAAATTGATTATTGTTTTCTGTTGTTGTTGTTGATTGTAAATAATTTAACAATTTAAATTGTTGATTATCTATTATTTTGTTAATGATTATGATGATGTTTGTATCTATTGATTGATGTATCCATTTCTTAATCATGTTTAATCATCAGATTGTTAACTTTTAAATGATCATGTTAATGATAATAAGAATTTAAGTTTTTTTTTATTTATCAGAATTGAATTGAATCATTAACTTTTATTTATTTTGTATTATTTTCAATCATCATTATTGTTATTATTATATTGTTACTGTTGATTGTTGATTGTTGATCTTTGATTATTGTGATGAAGACAAGATGATTAAGGTGATTAAGATGTTGATTATTAAGGTTTGGGAGTGTGACAAAGTTTTTGTTTTTGCTTTCTTCTTGTTGATCAGGATGAGGATTAAATAATTAAACCATCTCAACGATTATCATATGAGTTCAAGGGTGTTTGATTGATTGGCTACAATTACATTCAGATTATCTATTGATTATCTTGTTGGATAATCTCATTGATGACAATGATGATTAAAATGTTTCACTTGATTGGTTTGCTATTTTTTTGCACTTACCTTAATGAACGAAGTAGGAAATTGATAAGTTTTGACAATGAATATGAAGAGAAAAAAGTTTTTCATTCAAAAAAACGATAATTGATCATTGATTATATTTCTCAATGATGATGATGATAAACATGATGATGGTGATGATGTTAATCTTAGTGTTTGGGTTAACCGATTGGGTTGGATGAAGGGGTTTGATGTTAGCTAGGAAAAGGTATGAAAAATGATGATAAAATGGGAGTTGGTGCATAACGAATGTCCCAGAAAAGTACTTACCTTTCATGATTATTATTATAACGGTAATTTTGTCTTACTACAGGTAAATGCAAAATAGAGAGAGAGAGAGAGACGTCAAAGTGTCATGAACGCTGTGCGTACATAATTGTAGGTAAAAGGTGAAGATGATGAGAAGATGATGATGATGATGAGTGTGAGTTGTATTAACACACTGGCCTTTTGCTTTGGTCCGATGATTTAATTGATTGAAGTTCAAACAAAGCCAAAAAAAGGAACCACGATCATGATGATTATTGAGTCATTAAGATTGTCATTTAAAGAGACACCAGAGATGACTGAATAATGTTGATCATCATCATCATCATCTCATCAATGTTGACAGTTGTCAATTAACAGTTAATATGTTTACATGCCTCGATAATTAATCATGATTCAATTTCCTACCTATCCTACTTACCTGAGCTCCCATGTCCATCAAGGTAATAAAAAAAGGTCAGTATTTGTCTTGTTAACAAATAAGAAACTTTTTTTTTACTCTCATTTATATATTCACACTTTTTCAGGCTCGAGCATTTCATCATGTAACCTGTTGATTTGTTAGCTTGTTTTTTAACTGTATTTCTCCTTCATCACTTACATCAAACACCAAATCATGATCATCAACATGATGATTTCTCATTTTTTCTTTATCATCATCATCATCATCATCATCATCATCTTGTCCTTTAGTTTTATGAGTTAATCCAAACGACTATCTGATTGTTGATATTGAGTTTTTTTTTCTTCTTTCTTCTAAATTCATCATAATAGTTAAAACTACTTGAAAAAAGTTCTGAAATTAGGTGAAACCCTGTTTTTCATCCTCATCTTCATTTCTATCATCATCTTTTTTATCCTTATTATTATTATTTCTTAAAATGTAACAAGTTTTTTAACTTTAACCGGATCACGATTAACATCTTATTTCTATCAAATTTCTTCCCTCTTATTTCTCAATGATATTCGATGATGATCATGATGAGGATGATAATTCTCTTTCATCTCATCATCATTCTCATCATCTTTGCTCATCATCACAATCTTTTTCTCTTTTCCTATCTTTAGAATGAAAAACCCGAAGGGTAAGCGAGAGAGAGAGAGAGAGAGAAAACTATTAGCAAATCGAGTTTATTAAATCCCGAAAAACTGATAACTCTCATTGATTCCAATATTATTTAAACTCTTAATTCCCTCAACTGTTAACTAATCAACTGATAACCCATTTGCAATTAAGAAGATGATGAAGAAAAAAACTTTTATCATCATTTAGATTTTGTAAATCAACAATTTAGATTTTGTTTTCTTTTTCTTTCCTCAACTAATCAACAACAATCATTAATCAACTCGAATCAAGACAAAAAAATGATACACTTTTTTCAAATTTTACCTTTGGTTGGTCATCTTCATCTTCATCTTCATCATCCTCATCATCCTCATCATCTTCCTCATGTATCATATTGCTTAAGGATATTGTATCTGAGTACTTTGAACAGCTAATCCAACTTAATTTGACATTTCCTTTTCCGTTCAGGTATCAATACAAGAGCAAAGTTTTTTAATTAAAACGCTTTTGCCTCATTAATCAATAAGTACAATTATTACTTAGGATTAAGCTTAATCCATTTCAATCCTGTTATTTATTTATATTATACAAAAAAAAACTATCGGAAACAATTAATCATCAATGTCACAATTTAAAGTGTTTCCAATTCTCAGCTTGTTAATTGTTTCAATTTACTGATTAACAAATTG